AACGATTACTTGAAGTTTTATAAGTTGGGAACATATTGGCCATACACCCCTTCCATCCAGCTTCTGTATGGGCTAAGAGCAGCTTTGGACCTCATTTTTGAGGAAGGTCTTGACAATGTAATTGCAAGGCACGGCCGACTTGCCAAAGCAACAAGGTAACCTTTTTCCTTTTTATGGACAAAAAAGGTTTTTGATTCTCATAATTGTTAATATGTGGATTGTATTGCGAATCATTTTCAGGCGTTCCCATACACATGAATCATGATTAAGTGTTTCTCTAAATATATTAGATTATATCTGTTCAACACTATCTATTTTGTCAAACTTGCTTGCTGTCTCTATTTAGTTACACTGTTAGAACAAGATTATTCATATCCTGACTCGTTATTTAAGGTTTCTACTGATGTTTTGCACGGAAAATGCAGACTTGCGGTCGAGGCATGGGGTTTGAAGAACTGCACCCAAAAGGAGGAATGGTTCAGTGACACAGTCACTGCTATAGTGGTTCCACCATACATTGACAGCTCTGAAATTGTTAGAAGGGCATGGAAGCGATACAACTTAAGCTTAGGTCTGGGGCTTAACAAAGTAGCTGGAAAGGTTTTCAGAATAGGGCATCTTGGAAACCTCAACGAGGTACATATGACATGTTTTTATGTTGGTATTTTTGAATATTTACAGACATTTTTGCAAGGTTGTCTTTTACTACATCCCAAATTGTGACGGCTGAATCTTAGGACAAAATATTTAAACCATGCTTGGAGCTTGGTAAGGTGAACTTAACAACACTCTACATTGTTAGGGATGATAAGAAGGTTAAAATCTACTCCGTTATACTATTGAGAAACTATCTAATACTGTGTACCAAACATGCCTTGCTCTTTACTGTAATGAATCTTATTATCAATGTTCTAGTATCAAATCCAAATTTTCATTCTCAGTTAACATTTGTTCTTAATGAGCTATATATATTTTCCTACGGGAAGCGCTAGAATCTGTAGGGAAAACTCGAAAGCATTTTATGACAGGCAAAATTTCACTCTCTTTTCGTCATTTTCCCAAAAATATAACATCTGCTCACATGTAAACGATGATTATTCCTGCAGTTACAACTACTAGGCTGTCTTGCCGGAGTGGAGATGGTACTCAAGGATGTTGGTTACCCTGTGAAGCTTGGTAGTGGTGTTGCAGCTGCTTCTGCATACTTATCCAACGCCACTCCCTTAATTCCTTCGAGGATTTGATTCAAGAATTTAAACCTGTAACTATTTCTCTTCTTCTCATATGGTTCTACTGTAAAAATTGCATAATCCCCCTCTCTTTGGCACTTAAGGCTTTGAATTTCCATCAGTGTTGTTCATGGACCTTTTATATCTAAATCTTTGAATACAGCATTGGTTTTTCTTCCTCGTATGCTCCTATGATTTTTAGAAATGATTCATATATCAACCATGATAGAAATAAAAATTGCAAGCTAAACCCACATTTGTTGAAGCGAGCTAGCTCGTGCTGAGCTTGTTCTATGCGCGAGTGCAAGCTGACTTGCTTGGTGGGCCAAGCCATGCCTAAAGGTATGCAAATGTAACAGTTTGATTTAACCATTTAACCCCTTTATATTTTGTACGTCTAGAAAATTTCGTGGGTACACTTCACAAATCTTGAAGAAAAACAGGACAATATTTAATACAATCTTATAAAGAAGAAAAACAATCTTTCTAATATATGTAGTGTCATAAACTATATAAGGGTACACTGATCATTAATTAATTTAAACATATATATTTTTAATTTTTATGACTTTATTTTATTTTACAACTAATTATCGGTTTTATTGACGACATGAAGACCCCCCCTCCTATCTTTGCCCAATTTTCCTTGGTATTCCGCCAAATTCTGACATAAACGGACTTAACTATGATTATACTTTTCAATCACTCTCCAGAATTGTCGAGTCATCAATGCTTGATCCACGTTCAATCTTATTCAATGGATAAGTTTGTATGGTTGTATGGATAAGCTTCCAATTGTTTGAAGATTATTGCTCACAGATTTAAATAAAGAAAATAAAAAAAATTTGAAGACAAAATTTCCACGTCAGAACCGACAAGAACAATAAAATCTGTTGTCTGAAGTATCTTCATTGTTTTCTAGGAAACGTGTCCACCTCCAGTTTCGCCGCGTCAGCCATTGATTTCTCTCTCAAGATTCATCACAATCCCAGTTTTGCAATCAAATCTAATTCCTTTGAATAAATAGCTTCAAATTTCTTCAATTTTTGATGATATCCCAAAATGAATGCCACTCGAGAAATTCTTGATTCTGATAACCTCTTTGATCGTCTACCAGATGATATTGCGTTGTCAATCTTCAGTAAATTAGGAGATGCAAAATCCCTTTGTATTTCCCTGTCTGTTTGTAAGCGTTTTCGTTCTATAAATCTTGAAATTGACCAAATTTTTCTTTCCATTCCTCGTAAAAGAACACTTGTAAGAGACTGTGAGACTCCCACAAGTTTCTTGAAGAATCTTGTTTTTAGTATTTTGATAAAACCCGTCCAATTTATTTCTCAAAGAATCAAATTCGAAAAAAATAAGAATGATGATGAGGATTATTGTCCTTACTATCCTCCAAGTGAAGTTCTGAAGTCTTTTCAAGAAATTCGGGTACTTCATCTTAGACTGCCATGTCATGGAAGTGAAAAACTGGGTTCAAAAGCTGGTAAGAAGAGTAATTCAACTTTCTTGAAATGGAAAGCAGAATTTGGGAGCCAACTACATAATTGTGTGATTTTAGGAGCTAAATCTTGGATTGAGAAACCCGAAAATGGGGATAGTTTGCTCGAATCAGACACGGAATCTTCTGTAATTGATGATCATCACGATCATGAGCTGAAGTTGAGGATTCTGTGGACAATTTCATGTTTGATGGCAGCATCAGCCAGACATTATTTGATACAAGAAATCGTTAAGGAACGTGAAATGATCGAGAAAATTGAGGTGTCAGATGAAAGTGAACAGGGGAGGCTTTGTATGAACAAGGAACAAATTGAAGAGCTGAGTTCAAATGCAAAAGATTCATTTTTGAAGTATAGGAGCAGAGTGCCTGCTTTGAGAATGAAAATATGGTACATGAAAAAGTTGGAACTGCCGGAATCAGGGGAGGTTCTGGAGGGGGCGACGCTGGTGGTGGTAAAGCCGGTTGGTGGTGGAGGAGATTATATAGATGGTGGAAGTGGTGGTGATTTGGTGGCTGAGGCGTTTGATGGGGCAGAGGAAGTGGTGGTTCTTGGTGAAGTTGTGAAGAAATTGATGGGGGCTAAATGTTATACTTTAGAAATGAATTCGTTTTGATTTTTCTTTAGTCGGTTCATTTTTAGTCAGCTTTTACTTTTTCCTCTGTAAATTTTTTATCGTAAGTTAAGAGTCTAATCATGAATATACAAACAGGAGCTCGAAAATAAAGAATGCTATACAAAATGACCAATTCTTAAATCAGCTAACGACGTTCTATTGTGGTGCAACAAATCCCGACTTTGTTTTGAGAATTCTTAAATGAGCAGCAGATAATAGTGGTGTAAAGAAATACTCTCCTATTACCGTATGACTTAAAAATCGCGTTGCGAAAATCTTATCTGTATCAACTTCATTACATCGGTTAGAAAAGAGGGTCGGTTTCCTATGCTGATAGGTGTAGTTCTACACGTAAAGCTCTTGGTTTCTTGAGCAAGCTTCTTCAGAGTAGTCCTCGTCTTCCTCCTCTTCATGCCTCAAAACACTCTCCATTTCCACTGCATAAGCCAGCTGATAATGAAGGGGATAAAAGGAGTGTTAACTGCCTCCAACGAACTGAGATTTTTCTGCATGAAAGTCGAAGCACTTCAAAATCCAGCAGAGAAGCGAGTTTATGAGTAATTAGTTAGGATAGAACAAGAAGAATCATCAATAAACCTATGAAAGATGAACTTCTCTTGAAGTCTTTGGTAACATGTAACAAAATCGTTCCAGACAGCACGGCAACAAAGCCACATATTTCTGAGATAATATTTCCAGCACTTTGTCCATCCCAGTCCTGTATGGACTTAAAATGTAATCCCTAACTCTGATAGAAATATTATAACCATAAGATAGTCGGAACACACAGATTTAAAGTAGTTCACCCTCAACGTGAGAGTATTCTCCGGCCACTGCTGCAAACTTCTCTCGATAATGAAGGAAGAGATATACAAGGTTTTTGCAACCTCTCTATTCTTTTCTCACAATACACCTCAGATTCTTTTATATAACGTGGGAAACTAGGGCGGCCTAATATAGAATATGAATGCCTTATATATTCCTAAAAATAGGTCAAACTGCAGTTGAGGAGACAAGTAAACACTATCCAACAGAGTTGAGTAGAAACAATTTTTACTGAAAGCGAGTAAAACCATTTTTTGGTGATTGTTGAAAAACAGTTGTAAATTACTTTGACTTAAAGCAAGCCAAACAGCCATCTATACCCTGCCTGACAGCCAAACAGCCATCTATGGTTTTTAATGATAAGTGTATAAAAGCTTAAAGAATTAAATAGGCCATAAAGCTTAGTTACTTGTTCTGGAATTGATCTCAACCATAATTAAGGTTTTCTTGCCACATCAGCAGTTGAAAGTTTTTATCCTACCCATTGGGGGTAGGAGATCAGGCCTATTACTTGTTCAGCTAGATCATGCAAGTGAATGAATAATACAGACAATCATTTTGGAGCATACCATAAGTGAATTGGTACTACCTTAAACATGATAACGCTGGCAATGATGGTAAGTGTAGTAAACATGACATTATATATTGTGGAAACAATTGCTGTATTGAAGGTATCCAGAGCCTGAGTATCAAAGAGACGTTAATATACTGAAATTTTTGCTTTAAAATTTAAACACAGAATGCAATACTTTTTAGATACATTTGGGACATTAAGCAAACCATAGGCATAAACTTTACATAATGAAAAGACATTCAATCTGGGATTCCCTTAGAACCACAGCACAGGCTAGTCCATTTGTGAAACACTGCTACTAAAATTATTTCATTCCTTGTTAAGATAATTCATCTGTGTGATAACACATATAGCTACATCAAACAAAAAAAACCAGGTCTTTGGGTAGATTAGTTGATTATATCCTTCAATAGTCAACTTCAGTGAAGTTCCAAGGGCTTTAACACTCATGACCTGAATTAAAAGAACACTTCATTAAAATCTAAACTCAAAATTGGCAAAATAAAATTTCTGGTATCCAAAGATAAAAGATTGCACAATAATAAAGATGAGCAGAATCTCTAGAGCCAAAAGAATTATTCCCTTAGGAAGCGACAAACAATTTTTTTCAATATTCTGTAACACGTTTTATTTAGGAATCTAAACAACATATGGACTGTAATTGAACCTAAATGATTCATACATAGCTTGTCCATTAGTTTGTGAGTTGTACATGTTCCTTCAATTCGTAAATGAACTGATTATGAACATTTTTTTCGGCTTATTTAAAAAAGATTGCAATAGGAACAATACCTTGTACACTCAATTTACATTTGTGAAACAATTACAGTTGATTTCAGTTGTAAATAGCTTGTATCTAGGTTTGTAACTACTACACGTTCCTTCAATTTTGAATGGCTGCATTTTTTTCTTCTAATGAGTTGATTTTTCTGTTAGAATTAAATCTTCAAAAATTAAGTATGTCCTAAAGAATTTAATCTGTATTCTCCTCACTTCTTGTTATTTGACATAGTTTTCTTTTTCAGGTTGTCTCTTGAAAATCTCACCACCGAAAGTAGACACACTAAGAACCGTAAGTAAATTGCTAGTAAATAATGGATAAAACATTGGTCAAATCGGCCAGCTAATCTGAAAATATGCTAGGAAGTGGAGTGTCGATTTGTGATTGAAATTGTGGAGTCGAGATGTCCACCGGAAAAGGTAACTTTTCTTAAACTGCGAAAGTCTATATCTATTAAAAACATTCCGAATGTAAAACAACTCTTCTAAGGTGTAAGCAATAATGTGGAATGAAGTCTGAGTCTGGCCCGGAAAGATGTATGCTATCCATTGAATTTTGAATTATATTACACAGGCATCATCAGAAATTTACTGTGAGTGAACCCATCAGCGAACAAATGCCAGCGAAAACAAGTACATTTGAGTGGCCACATTGAGGTGCAAAATAGAAGACGAGAATAATCACCAAAATGATCACTGATCCTACATATAGCAGAAAGGCTGAAATTGAAGAGGTTAAATGCAGCTAGACAAAAAATAATAATAATAACATTATCAGCATGTTTTGTGCATAGTATTGGACATTGGACAATACAGGAAAGTAAAATGGACAAGAATTTTAACTTATTTTTCGTTCTTAATACAATGCTATCCAGTTCACTTATCAAACAAGCCAAAAAAGAAATTTCTCACCTGGCTGTGTTGCCATAGTCCATATTTCCTGGACAGAAGAGTGTAGCGCATGGATAACACTTATGATAGAGCCAACAACAGACATGACACAGCCCAATATCCATGGCCAGTGTAGCTTCTCCTTCAACATAAAGTGAGTTAGTACCGCACTATCATTTAAAACGTGAAAACCAATCCAAATGAAACAATTAGAAGAAATTTTTTGATATGACTACAATAAAATATGTAAGCACGTTTGGTACATAGTGCTAGACAAGACTGAAAGGTATTATAAATAAGATTTTAGCTTCTTTGTCTTTTGTCCACTGATATCCAATCTTCGTCGCCAAGGTACCATATGACCAAAGTACCTAATAATGATGCTCAATACACCAAGAGGCGTGACAAGCACTGCAGGGGCAAATGCATATGCCACAAAATTTTTCAACTTCACCAATGATCAATATATAAGAAACCGAAGAACAAACAAAATTATGGAGTCAGTGGAACATAGAACTGACAAAATATCCATTGTAGATAAAATTTGACATCTCGTTTTGCAAATGCACAAAACTAGCAGCTTCACAATCAATAAAGCCATGTAGATTTCATATTTGCAACACAGAGTCTTCATATGATTTCATGAGTAAAAAGTTTCATTAATCACTAAACTTTGAACTTTGTCACGTTGTGGTCACTCAACTTAGTAATGCTTCTGATCGGTCACTGAACTTGCAGAAGGTTACCTCCTTCCATCACCAAAACAGCCGGCTGTTTGGAAGTCAGCCCAGGTGGCTTAACGGAGTCCGGCGTAGCAGTGACGGCGTCATTTCCTTGGCCAAGCAAGAGTTTAATTTTCATTAATCACCCATTTCCTTCAATTGAACGAATCCTGTCTTTCTCCCAAACGACGTCGAACCCTAATCTCCCAACCACCGTCGCGATTGCAGACATTGAGGTGGGCTCGAGCCCAGAAATTGAGATTTGAAGAAGGAAAATTGTTGGATTGCCACTGAGATTCGAACGAATCCTGTCATTCATCCCAAACCGAATTCACCCCCTGAACGAAACTTACTCTCCCTCTTCCCGTCGCGATTGCAGAAGTTGAGGTGGAACCCGTTCGAGAAATTTAAGTCGGAAGGAGCAACAATGTTGGATTGCCACTTGAAGTGAACTGGAAGTAGCTAGCTTGATTGTCACTGCATTTTTCAATTGGTTTCACTTCTTTGCGAGGTTCCAATTTTCAAACATGGAGAGAGATCCCGGAGGTAAAGCCCACCCTTGATTTGAAATATAATGTGTGTGTTGCCGGTAATGAGTCTACTGGTAATTCAAGAATGTGTAATTTTACAGTTTGTGTGATTTTGCATAAATATGAAGGTATTTCCAATTTCTGTGATTTTATGTAACTGGTAGTTATTATAGATGGTAGTTACGTTACTATGGGTGATTCATGTACTGCAGGTAATTAATCTCATTGTTTTCATTTTGTTGACAGAAAACGAGGAAGACTCTGATTTCGTTCATTCTGAGGTTGACATGACTTCTGAGAATGATGATTTTATGTACAATCGCAATATGACAGATGGCCTCGAAATTGATCTGGACATGAATGAAGCAGGAAATGACGTAGTACTGAACTGGAAGGGGAGGTGGACGATGATGACTTGGAGTATCCATCATTTAAGGAGTTATTATTGTTTTGTTCATCAAACGAAGAAGTTGGTTATCGCTTTCCAGAATTTTTGGCTGAGACGGTTACGAGGAATCCGTAGTTTGAGGTTGGACAACTATTTCGGTCAATTGAAGAGTTTCGGATTGCAGTGAGAACCTATGGTGCTCTCAATGGTTACAACGTGAGGTTAAGGTGTAATGATAGAAAACGAGCTTAAGGAGTTTGCAAAATGGGGTGTAACTGGAGGATATGGGCCTCGAAGTTGAGTACGAGGGAGACAGTGCAAGTGAAGTCTTAGACATCCGAGCACACATGCACACAGAGCCAAAACAATAGACATTACAACTACATATTCTTGACAAATAGATACATTGAATAGTTCAAGGCAAACCCTGATTGGAAAACACAATCCATATTGGCGACTGTGAAGGATGATTTGAAGACATAGATAAGTAGAAATGTGGCCAACAAGATGTGACAATATGCTAAGGAATTGTTGTTTGGAACAATGGAAGAATAGTTCGGACTTTTGAGGAGATATGCTGCAGAGGTACTTCGGACAAATCCTGGATCGACGGTGATGATAGCCCTATCAAAGCAAGTTTTCAAGGGTATCTACATATGCTTCAGTGCCTGCAAGGCCGGTTTCAAAATAGGATATGTGTTTGGGATGGGTGCCATTTGCGGGGTTGTTTTGGGGGAGTTATGTTAACAGCGATTGGAGAGGATGCTAATGACTGCATATACCCTGTGGCGTATGCTGTTGTCGAGAAAGAGAACATAGACTCTTGGAGGTGGTTCTTGAAGTATCTCCAAGAGGACATTGACAATGGGAGGGGTTGGACATTAATGACTGATAGGCAAAAGGGTCTTCAAAATGTATGCGAGGAGTTATTCCCAGAGGCAGAACATCGTTACTGAGTATGACATATGTACACAAACTTCTTCATCGCCGGACAGAAGAGCAAGATACTAAAAGATTTTCTTTAGCGTGCAGCCAGTCATCAACCGTTGCTGAATTCAAACATTGGATGCAAAAAAATCGTAAAGTGAATGACGATGCATACAAATGGTTGATGAAGAAACACCCTCAAGAGTGGAGTTGTTCACACTTTTCACTGCACTCCAAGTGTGACATTCTCCTTAAAAACATATGCGAAGTGTTGCTGGCGGATAGAGAGAAATTGATTCTAAATATGTTGACATCAGTGAAGTTGTCTTTCATGAAACGAATACAGCATAGACGAGAAAAAATGATACGATACCAAGGTCGTTTATGTCCAAGGATCACAAAAAAATTGTGCAAAATCTCTGAGATGTCAAGAGAATGCACGTCGTGCTTGTATGGGAGGTCCAGGTGGCAGGCTGATTACAGTTTTGGGACATTTGTAGTTGATCTCCAAGAACGTACTTGCTCATGTCGAAAATGGGCGCTTACCGGTATACCGCGCATGCATGCCGTTGCAGTGATTCGGGATTGCAAAAATTCACCAGAGGCTTATGTTGACAATTGTTACATGATCGAGACGTACTTGAGTTGTTATAATAATATCATGAACCCAATAAATGGCACAATGTTGTGACCCGAGGTGGAAGCCCCTACAATCATCCAACCTAAGTGGACTACTCTTCAACGGGGATTTGGGTGGGGAATTTCGAATTGGGGGAATCTCTCTCAATGTAGACCTAATTGAAGGTGAACGGGAATTTTCCAAAACTTAATGTCTTAGGTGGCTAAGGAAATGATGTCGTCGCTGCCACGTCGGACTCCGTTAAGCCACTTGGGCTAACTTCCAAATGGGTGGTTGTTTAGTGATGAAAGGAGGTAACATTCTGCAAGTTCAGTGACCGATTAGAAGCATTACTAAGTTGAGTGACCACAACGTGTCAAAGTTCAAAGTTTAGTTATTAATGAAACTTTTTACTCATGATTTCATAGATGTCCAAAATAGGCATCACACAATTGAATACAAATTTATTCATTTCTAAGAGTTAAACAAATTCATTCACAGACTAGCGTGTCTATATTCGCACGAACAATAAAAGAATACCAAAAAACACATATTTGTGATCATGTCAAACCACCAGAGAGGCTCCACGAGATACGAGTATCCCCAACACCTATAAAACTCAATACAACATATCCATTATAAATAAATAATCAAGAACTCAGATAAGAGAAAAAATGAATTTGACTCCACAAGAAAAAAGAAATTAAATTAACCACCAGCCCTGACACCGGAAGCGGCAGCAGCTTTCTAGGGGCCTTTTTTCTTGATGATGAAGCTTGCACCTATGAACCCACATGAAATGAGAGTCAATACAATGCCTTTCAAATTGTCTTTGGAGAAACCCATTATTCAAATCTCACGGTTGCTGTTACTTTTCTTCTTCTTTTCTTCAACGAAATTGGGACTATTTGCCGGTCATTTACGTCGCCTACTCAATCAAACGAATCTTTATTAAGCAGTATATAGTCAATTATTAATTTGAAAAAAAATCACGAAAATGGATCGATTATTATAGGACTATTAAACTTGCATGAAATTTGCCAACCTCGCCTTAATACGGTGATCATGTGTTCTAATTCTTTTAACAAGCAACAATTGCAGCAAAAAGGACTCAACTTATGTAATTAGTGTAAACGGAACCTTACATGTATTTTTATATGGAAAAATTGCAGCCGAGGTACCAAAAAATTCACTTATTTGTAAACTTTACCCAAACATTTAATTTGTACCACTCACGATACCAAACCTTTAAAAAATCGCAACTCAAGTCCAAATTGGCGGATTCCGTTAGTTTGACATTAAAAACTATTAGTTGACCCCAGAAATTAAAAATTCAATAATTCTTCCCAAATAAGCTAAGGGTATTTTGGATATAATATATTTCTCATATTAAATCAAAAATTAAAAAAAAATCACAACCTTCGGCCAACCCGCCTCCTGTCTAAGCCATCCTCAACCCGCCGGGTTTTACCATATTTGGATTTTTCGGTTCTCTTCCTTGCATCAGATATCGAAAGTATTTTCCTTTCATACAACAACTTATAGTGTTTACAAGGCAATTTCGAATAAGATTTCAGCTGTATTTTTTGCTTATAGCAAATTAATTATAGAGTTCAGAAGGCAATTTTCAAGAAGTTTTCAACTGGGTTTCGCTTAGAAATGCATATGGGTCTGAACCGTGCTTTCGCCGAGCTTTAATAGCTACTCTAACTATAACCTTGCAGAAATCGTAGCTCGAGTTGTGGAAGAATTCAGTAGTTCTGAAGAATTTTATGATGAATTTTGTATAGAAAACAAGAAAGTCCATCAACCCAAAAAGTCGAAGAAGAATCAAATTCTGAAAGTGTAGAAAAAGAAGATAAAAAGGATGATGAAGATGAAGAATTTGAATTCGCATTTGTCGCAAAAGAGGTTGAAATTTCTTCTCCAATTTCAGCCGATGAAATCTTCTGCAACGGTCTGACC